AATGCTTCTCAGATAATTCCTCCTACAACAAAATTCAGGTACACTCACCCGTTTTTCCGGATCCAAGAAGATAGTTGTATAAAAGAGCTGGTCACTGTCATCATCTTCTCCCTTCCACTCTTCCACAAGTTTGTTCAGGTTTGGAGCATAGCCAATGAAGCCTGCAGGAATCAGGATGAAGAGAAACACAGTATTTCAATCCATACAAAGCAAAAAAAGGGAAAGTACTGATACATTCATATACTCACTTACTTCACACAAAGTAAAAGCATGTATAAATCACCCTTCTCAGCACGGAATGACACTGAGATAGAACCTTTAATTTTCGGCATCAGAAAACATTCCCTGAAAAATCAGTCTCACTGCAAATAGTTAGCAGGTTCCTATCCTCTTGATGTGATTCACAGCCATGTCCCTTCCTGCAGCAAAAAATGAAAGACAGGAGCATAGCTGGTCTCTCCTACCTCCAGAGCCCAGGAAGCGCTTTCCGTCTCGCACCTGAGGGTACTTGGCTTCCAGCTTTCTGTCAGGATAGATGTAATTCTCTGCTGAAAAAACAACTTTGCTCTTGGCTTGTTTGAACTTCTTCAGCAGCTCTGTGGGACCCGATGCAAAGAGCACATCATAGCTAGCAGGGGAAAAAAAAAAAAAAAAAAGACAGCAAGGAATGGAGTCAGGAAAGCAGGTCAGTGAGAAAAGCAACTAGAAACACAGAAATCATTTAGAATCTCCTTCTTTTAGTTCTGCTTCACAATATTTTATTTTTGTTCCACTTTAACTAGAGTGTTATCTTACACAAAGTGAAAAGATACTTAGAAAGCAACAGGAAACACAGATGGATCTCAAGAATCCAGACCTTCCAGTGACTGCCTCAAAGCAGGATTGAACAGGTTTATATTGCCCCAAGGGAAGTTACTTTAAACATTTTTAAACCTTTCCACTGCTGGAGATTCCATAGTGTCTTGATGCAGCCTATTCCCATGCTCAACCATTCTTACTTTTAGAAAGTTTGCACCCATAATGAAACCAACTCTTCCAATCTCCAGAAGGAGACCGCTTTTTATATTTTTGGCATCTTGCCACTCTCCACAGAGCTCTCTGTGGTGGAGACCTATGTTGGACACCGGTCCCTGGACACTGGATTCCAGTCATTGTTTCTCCACTACTGAGCAGAACCGACTAATTTTCAGTGCTCGCAGAATGAGATCTGCATTCACTGCAAGAGAATTGCACTCTTCAAAGTAACTTTCTCTGGCCAACTAAGTGTGTTGCAGTCTGTCTCACAAATAATTCCACTGAGAAGGGCCTGCAGAATTTTTCTCTCTGTTCTCTAGAGACAGATGCAGCCAAATTCCACCCTGGCAGAAACAGGTATAACGCTATCAAATTTATACAAGAGTTGGAAACAGCCCATTAATGTTAGATCTTTCCAGCTGCCACGAATGCAGCTCACACCAACACTCAGGAGACTATGGAGAATTCAGGGGGAAAAATTGCAGGGGATCTGGCCACCTCTTGCACAAGCAACCCACTTCACAGTTGGTTTCTTCTTAGTAATAACCTGCTCAAAGAGCTTTGTAATTAAGTTCATGACAAATCCTTTCCAATATATTACCTTTCTACGAAAAGGATGATTAAGTCTTCCTTGTCTGCATACTCCTTTAAAGCTGATTTCAAGAGACGGACCTTCTGCCCCCCTCCTGCTGGCTTCTTATCATCTCCACCCTGCCATTTCTCGTCCAATCCCAGCACCTAAAGGACACAGGCAAAAGGTCTACTGAACAGGTCATTCTCCCCAGAAAAGGACCAGAACTCACAGTCCTGATTACTCCCAATGCAAAATACAACAACAACAGAAACAATTTCGGGGTGGAGGCACTAGGCATGTGTGCTAGCCATTGAATAGTGACAGGAGCTTCTCACTTTGCACCATTATGTTTCAACACTGCAAAGGAAATGTGGCTTGGGGCTACCTTGAGCAGGAGTCATGATCTCGTCTCAAGCCACTATTGGGCATGGCATAAGAAAGACTGCAGCAGAAATGCCAGCTGCCACAGTGTCTCTCATACAGCTGAAGGGGCAGGTCCTCTCTTGGACTTTTGTTTAAATCTTCGAGGCCAAGTCTTATTCATTGCACACTCAAGAGTGTCCATTTCAAAACTCCCTTTTGCCAGCTACTCCTGAGGTCGTTGGTCATCACCTGGACTTTGTAGTTGAAGAACTGGGCTGATCTTCTAAAGCGTCTGAAGCCCTCCGTTTGCTTGGTGGCAACAGTAAGGACGAGCAGGTTTTCTGCTTGCAGGAGAAAGCACAAGAGACATATGATCAGTCTGCCTGTTTCCACACATAACGCTGAGGCTTTACTAGCAGGCACTGAACCGAAGTAGGAACTGTTGTTCTTAAAGGGAGGTCCTTAGGAGTAAAACTCAACCACTGAGAAGTGACCTTCGCAACAGCACACTTCAAGTTAGTCATGAAGTTAGGAAGAGAACCTAAGAGTCCCGACTTTCACTTCAGACCCACTGCTGTTCACAGACAGAGGTTATGTCTGCTCTGCAAAACACTGACAGCTGCCCGGGTTCACTATGCCAGGCAAGCAAGGCAGCCAACCCCAGGAGCAACCACGTTCTGCTGAGAGGCAAACACTTGCTTAAAGCTCCCCCAGTCCTCTCTGCTCTATACAACCCTAAGCACTGTAGGTGCTCTCATTGACCAGCGCCAATCAGGAATAGAATTCACTTCAAAACCCATTTTTTGCTGCCTAGATTATTGGTAACACCTACAGAGAAAAACAAACAGACAAAAAACAGCATGGAAGGAGGCAGTGTTTTTTCCTCTGGAGTAACTACCATATGGGACAGGGCATCATAAAGGTGGCCAGAACTTTTCACAGACTGAAGAGCCGCAAACTAACTGCAGTGCAGCCAAGGCTGTTCCTTTGCTTTGTACTTGTGCAGCAAAGGTTAGAACTTGGTCCTGGGTACAAAATGGGGAAAAATAGGAAAATTAATTGAGATACGAGGTGGAAGAATAAAATACAATTTATTATTTTTTTAAACCTTGCTAATGTGTGCTATGATTCTTCAGTTTGAAGGACATTAAACTTGAAGATTAAAAAAAAAAAGAAGCAGCACTAAAAAAAAGACCATTTCAGAGTCATGCATTTAGTGCAATTGGCTTCCTGTTACCCACAGATTTGCGCTCAACATTGACTATGTGTGAAGACCAAAATTAGGCTGTTATTCCCCCTCCCTAGTCGCTCCAATTTCCTACTGTGTTCCACAAGTTTTTCCATACATACACAACATGAATTTAATTCTGCCATCCCTTTCATTAAATTACCAATCTTGTCTCTTAAAAATGATATAGCAAAATCTTGAAGTTTTCTTTCAGAAGTTTCTCCAGGATACTATTGGAATATGAATATTCTGCAGAAGTCCTGGTTTCTTTTTGGCTCTACTTCATCTTAATACCTTTATTTCAATAGGAACTTGTATAGGCTCTGGCAACAGTGTGTTTAAATATGAATCCTGCCATCCAATTTTAACATCGGAAAATACCAGGAATAGCTGAAAGTACATTCTCTCTTGGCTTGAGCAGCTCCTCTTGGAACAATGAATTTCTCAATGGATGTTCCAGATGTATCTTCCTAGTGTGCCCAGACTGATATTCAGGGCATAGGAAGTCCAGTACCCCAGACAGGCAGAATCTAGGAGCTGGAATCCTCACTAGACCTGACAAGGGTGTCAGAAGTAAAACCTAAGGGTAAGACTAAAGCTTAGGAAGTAAGACGTTCCCAAGGACAAATCCTTTCCTCCATCAAAACAAAGAGGAGACACTGAGATCAGTCAGAAAAAAAGGCCAGCTTCAACTGTATTTTGTTAGATATTCATGCAGACAAAGGACTGACAAACAAAAGAATCCAAATCCTACATTAAGTGCAATTTCTGAAGCAGATTTTTAGCTCTGTGAAGTACATTCCTAATCCAGCTCCTTCAGCACACTCCAGTTGCTTGCACCCTTTGGAGGCACAAGGTGTAAACAAATCTGTAAAATATGAATGTCTTCAAGGCATGTGCTAAAACCATTAAAGTATCTAGTCATACAGAAAACCATGGCAGCTTGAACAGGCAGCTCTGAGCTCACAGTTCGGAGAAGGTGGAAATCATCCTGCCTGTGAAGAGGGGGCAAATGTGTGAAGAGGGAGGAATGCAAAGACAAGCATCACATCCTAGTGCCTGAAAAGGGAGGAGAAAGCATATGACAAAGATGATAGAAGAAAAGAACAACCTTAGCCTGGATGCTATGCAATTGTTTCAGCCTGAATTCTGAGGGATCGCGTTAAAAAATTAGGAATTCATTTGCACGCCACCACTTCAAGAAAGTTACAAACTGTTTATGCGCCGTTTGATGTGACTGCCAGAAGTTTGCTGGACCAGATGAGAGAGCGAAAGGTTCCAAGGATGAACAGGAAGCGGTGTCGTATTTCCAAGACAGAAAAGGTTTCACTGTGCAGCATGTGAATTCTCAGGAGCGCGGAAAAAACAGCAGAGAGAAAACAATCCCCCCACACAGAATTCCTCATGAAAAATTCCCTTCCCATTACTAATTTGCAGGGAGCTCGGTTTCTGCTCTGAGTTATTTCTGCAGTAGCGAGAGTTTTCCATCCCAAGAGACGCGCTGTGCTGAACTGGACCGCCTCGGCCTTCCCCTTTAACCCTTTTCTGTCTTTCTCAAAAGTTCTTGCTGAAGACTGGCACAGCTACAGGCATTTCCAAAGCCAGAGCAGCAAACACCTCTAATTTCTATTTGCTTTAGACTTTTTAGTAATATCCTCTTTCTCCACACTATCAATGCACATTCAGGCTCCTTTCGCCAGAGTAACTGGAAATATTTTTAAAGCTCCAAAAGCAGTTTTATGTTTCCTAATCATCCACATCACAGTTATTTTTCACACGTGGAAACAGTAGTTCATTTTGTTAAGCTGGGCCCCCTGGACACACTGACTCCTTGGGCTGTGCTGATTATTATAAATGTTAAGAAATACACTTAATAAAGGTGTTTCAGCAAAATCTGAACAGAGTGTGATTCAACAAAGCAAAGGTGGGACTAAGAACCAGGGGAGCTGCACTGGGCCTCTAGCTCTGCGCTGAAGCAGGGAGCCAGCCTTGCTAGCAATCTACTTTTCAATCTGTAGAACAGTAATAAATGACATTTAGCAGACTTAAAAGTTTTTACAAAGAAATTGGTAAAATGCAGTGACAAGATGAGTTTGGCAAAAAAAATTCACGTTATTTACTTCTGCCCTGATTCCACCGGGAAAACACAGTTGCAGCTGCATTTCTGAACAAGGGATGAATTTATCCCTAGGCTGTGCCTTGGGAAATATTACTGTGCAGCTTTTGGTTAAATAACATTTAAGAAAATATCATTAATACTGGGACCAAATAGAAAAATCAGTGCATAGTTTAACAGTGGATAATATAATCTCTGCATTAAATTTACATTTTCCAAAGGTTTTCAGTAACAATTTAATTTGAAGCACACATAACCGTACTTAGCGCTTTTGCAAAGACCTGAAAGAACTTCTAAGAGAGAAGAGAGGTACCTTAAGCTCATACTGGAAGCAAATGATTTGGAAATTAATTAATTCCAAATTCCTTTTCCTAACCAGCATACCTCACTGTATGGGTGCCAAACTTGGGGGGTAAAGCGGGCCCCACAAGCTTGTCAAAAGCCTGGAAGAGCAGAGGTGCGTTAAGTACAGGATGGCACACACGAAGGTGTGCTCTTTACTCGTATTTGTCACAAAATGGGAGCCCCTCTGAATTGCCGCTTCTCTCATGAGGACGCGAACCGAGAAGTCCCGTCCCGTCCCGTCCCGTTCCTACCTTCCTGCCTGGCGCTGGCGCCGCCGCCGCCCTCCGCGCCCGGCAGCGGCCGC